AGATGAAGATTCAGGGTCACGCTTGCAGCGGCGGCAGAGGGGGTCAGGGGCCAACTGCTCAGCATGCCTCTTTTCCTCCGTCCAGTAGCCGCCGGCAGCGATCAACCTGACCATAGAACTCACATCTCGACGGCCTTCCTTCTCAAGAGAGGCCAGGAGCTCCCAAACGTGGAAAGGCGAAACCGGGCCCTGGATTCCTTTGCCGTCGAGATGTTCTGCTGCCTGGTTCCACTGCAGGGCGTCGATCGATTCGTCGAAGGCTTCCAAAAGGGGTCCCAAGGGTCCTCGACCGCCCGCTTTCATCTCCCAGTAGTCGCCAGAAGGGGAGACCAAGGAAAAGGGAGAGGGGCAAGCCCACCCAATGGCGAGCAAGGAGGCCTGAAAGGCAGCCATCGGACCTCGGACCCAAGCCCAGCCTCGACGAACCTTCTCGAGCGAGGCATCCCAGAATCGAGCCAAACGCTCAAGAAGCTTCTGGTTGCCTGCAATGCGTGAGAACCAGGACTTAACAATCTTGCGATAATACAGCTGTACTGGGTCTTGCCCGAGACCAAAGGTGAGCCGAATAGCAGATGTAGCACAAACACCCTTCTGAGGGCTCTTGCTAGCAGCCCGGACCATGCTTCGGAGCCCCCGCAACATTGAGGGGGAAACTCCCTGGAGCTCAGGGGCCCACATGGCCGTCGCAAAAGCACTCGGGTAAAACAGTTTGGAAGCGCTGCGATTTGTTTTGGAGAACTGGAATATCCTACACGTAGCGTGCCGGCCCTTGGAAAACCTCTCCTTGCGAACTGCTACCGCGCGGCGCGCTCCGAGAGCCGCATCATGCCCCAGGTCCCTGGCGGCTAAAGAAACCGTGAATGCACACCCCTCGGCGACGGCAGCAGCAGAAAGCTCTGAGCGAAGCTCTGGCGACGACGCCAACAGATGAGACTTATCAACGGCCAGCTGACAACGGCGACGTTTCAGGCTGACCAAAAGGGCTCGAAGCAAGGTAGGAAACGTTGCCGAAATACTGCAATGCGTGCCGAAGAGCCCGGCAGAAACATCGTCCACCCACTCGCGAAGGCGGAGGCCTGAGACAGAGCCGTAAGCACACCCGAGGGGCTCATGGAGGTGCGCACGCGCAAGAGAAGTAGCCTGGCCGCACCCAGCGAGCACGCCTCCATGAGCTAAGATCCCGGGGTGCACCGCGCCATCCAAGGAAATGTGACGGACGCCTGAATAAATGTCGATAGCTAGGACAAGGAGGCGGAGAGGATAGTCGAGAGCAACTGCTGCCTCGACCAAATCTTCTAAGCACACCTGATCGTAGTATTTCTTCATATCCAGCAAAAGGCCGCCTACCTGAAAACCTGCGTGGAGGGCGAGCTCAGTTTCAAGCTCGTCTACCCAGCCTGCAAAATCCGCGGAGCCTCCAACCGTGGCGTCCCAGGGCCCATGGGCTCCACGGTCCCATTGGGTGATAAGGGGTTTCCTTATGCGGAGGTGGAGGGAGTAGACGAAGCCGAGGAGAGCGATAGGTCTCTTACCCCCGTCAGGCTTAGGAATCAAAGCAATGAGGGCGAACAACTGCTGGAAAGGGATTGTACACTGCTCCTCAATGCTATGCAAAATGTCAATCAAATGTTGCTTAGCTTCCAGGCTGGTTTCCTTGACCAGGCGGGGCTCCAGGTGATCCAAACGTTGTCCCCTAGCGTCCGGCATCGAAGCAAGGGCTCTTTCCAACATGTGCATACTTATCGGTGGCAAACGCGGAGACTCCCAGGCACGCTTACGCAGGTCAGCTAACGCCGCTCTAGCGCCCTCAAGGCTGTGCTGCTGCCAGATGGCCGACCAAGCGGCGGCTTCGAAATCCAGCATCTGGTCAAGAGCAGCACATGGGCCGTCGACACCAATTTTGTCAGGAGGGAGAGGGTCGAATGGCGTGCGGAGCAATCGGTGCGCCGGGCCTGCGCTGCGATACAGGGCAGATTTCAACCATGCCTGCCACGATGCGTTTTGCGCCTTGAGGGCCTCGCGGTGCGACTGATGAGCCATCTGGCGTAATTCCTCGAGCAGGTCCTCCAGCCCGTCGTAGGGAGTGGAGGCGACATTCTTAAATCGGGCCGACCACAAATTAAAAAACCCATCCTGCTTCGCATCGCGAGTGTCCGAAGGCTCCGGGGGTACCTGCTGGGAAAGCCAAGTCAGGGTAGACCGAAACTGCGCAGCGTGAGCCAATGCAGGCTGAGGGGGGAGGGTAGGGTCAGAATCAGAAGGCACGAGTTTCATGAGAAATTTCAGCTGTACATATGATGCTTGCCACATGCGAGCGGCTCGATCGGAGAGGCACGGGCCCTCGACCTGAGCAGCTATCAGAGGAACTTCACGCAATCTGGGTTGTTGGCCACGCCCAACATACTGAAACGCATCTTCCTGGGAAAAGCCCAACTTGGAGAACGCCTCCAGCTCGAGAGCGAGGACCCAACAGGAAAGACTGTTTCCTAGGGCAACAGAAACGTCCGAATTGTCGTGGTGCAGACGCAGCAAAGCGGCCTGAGGAAAGTTAGCCTCAAAGAAAGCACGGCGGTGATGCTTGAGGAGTCGCGCCTGCACAAGGAAGTGCGCCCACGGAGCCAGCGGTGCTGCAATACCCTTGACAGGAAGGGGTTTCGGCCGCATGGCCTTCCAAACCATTATGGCTCGAGGCGTGGCCAATATGTCAAAGCTTAAAGCTGCATGAGTGCCCCGCGGCACTGGCGCGGTTCCTGCAAAACGGCAGGCAGACAGAAAAACTGTAGAACACAAGGCATAATCGATGCGGCTGGTCAAGACTCCGGTGCACGTGACCGAGACTCCAGGCATCGGAACAGGAACGAGGCCAAGAGGCTCCAGCCAACCCGACTCTTCAATAACCTCTTGAGCGACCTGCCAATCGCCGACGACAAAGGCGGGCACACCTGCAACGCTCAGGTGTGCTCCAACATCGGCGAGAAGCCTCAAGTTGTCTCCGTTGAGCTGCCCCCCCCGTGTGCAGGTACACAGGCGCAATCGTGAGCGAGACGTGCCGGAGGCGCAGCGTGCAAATGAGCCAGCGGGAGGAGCCTGCCTCCGACCATTCACCTGCAGAAAACGTCTGGCTCGTCAGGCCGAGGTGGGATCGTGCAACCACGAACACCCCCGAAGAGGCATCATCTGCGTCGGTGCGGTGTGCCTCTCGAGCGACGACTCGCCAGCCGAGCTTGTGCAACTTCTTGACCATGTCAGAGAACTTGCTGCCCCGCTGGCGGTGTTCAACGAACAGCGCCACATCAGCGTCGGTGTGGGCAATCCATCTGGCCGCAGTGGGGCCCCAACAAGAAATGCTGGAGTAAATGAACTTGAGCGTCTTGCAAACTTCGCCTGAAACTGGGGGCTCGCTCCCCGGCGGGGGCCCCGCAAGAGGGCGACGCGCCCTCTTGGCCCGGAGGCCCTGGGACCTCGTGGCGTTTGGAGCGTGGCTTCTCGCCCTTGGCCTCGCTCTTGGCCTGCTCTGCCTTCTGCTTAGCCTTGGCCAGGAACTCAGTCTTGAGCTGATCCGCCTGGAGCTTCCTGTCAGACTTGTCAGCGGGCGCATGTGGCTCGGCAGGCCCGGGGGCGGGCTGGGAGGACGCCGCCTCTGGTAGGGAGCTGGCCCCGGCAGCGGGGGCGCGAGCCGCTGCCTGAGCGCCATGGCTCGCCTCAGAGGGGGCCTCCGCCGCCACGGCCACCGAGCCTGAGCCGGCCTCGCCAACCTTGCGCTTCTTGCGAAGCTCTCCCATGCGGGTAAGATACTCCTGCTGATGTGCATCAGCTTGCGTCTTAACCGTCGTGAGAGCATCATGAAGAAGTTTTTTGATCTTGGCCGACTGCTCGCCCTGGAACTTCTGGAAGTCTGCGCGGTCAGCGTCGGAGAAGGCGGGGCCTGAGAGGTCGATGTCCTCACCGAACTCCAGCGCGAGATCGTCTGCAGAATCCTTGAACAGAGATGTGATGTTGATGGTGTTGACCTTGGACTCGCACGGCTTGATAACACCTGCTGCCAAGACGCGGGTAGCCTCCGCCAGGGCTTCCTCAGCAGCGATGTCCTTCGCCATGAGGTCGTCAAGTAGTTTGTTGGACTCTGCGACTTGCTTGTCCAAGTCAACGCGCTTGAGCAGAGCCTTATCCAAACGGTCTGACGCAGCCTTGCGAATCTGGTTGGCACGGTTCCAGGATGCCTGAGCCGACATGGGCGCAGCAGCGGGCGCGGGCGGCTGGAAGGGCGCCAAGAGCTTCTGCGCCTCTGGCTGGGAGAGCTGCCCCGCCGCCTGCCGAAGGGCTGCCAGCGCCTCGGACGACAAGTTGATGGTGGCCTCCTTCTGGGCCTGCTCCTCCGCGTGGCGGCGCCAGCGCCCCTTAGGCTTGGCACCACCGTCACCACCATGCGGGTCGTCGGCCAAGGCCATCGCCGAGCCGTTGCAACCGATCGGGTAGTAGGTGTCCCGGGTGGAGTGGCCGTAGGGATCGCAGATGTCCTGGCATCCGACACAAAGCCACTTGCGCTTGGCAAGCAAGTCGTCCCACGTCCAGTGCCCACAAGAGCACACAGTGTAAGGACGCCCACGACGAGGAACGTGGCCAGCCTTAGCGCCACCGCGGCCGACCTTGATCCACGGATCGTACGTCCAACCACCATGGCTACCTCCAGCCCCTCCGACACCTGGGACCATGGGCACCGACAGGGGCTCGTACGAAGAGTCTGCTCACCCGCGGGCAGCGGGAGGCAGGCGCTGACTGGGGCGGACCAGAACAGCGCGAAAGATGGATGCCGAGCTGAACAGCTCTGCCTGCTACGGTGACAGCAGCTTCCGTGATTGCCTATGCGGGCTCAGCCCGCAAGTTGGAAAGTCTTGAGCCAAAATGGCTTGAGCCAAAATGGCTACGGAGGAGGAGGAGGAGGAGGAGGAGGAGGAGGAGGAGCGGTCAGCAGCCAGCGGCCAGCGGCAGCCCCGCGGGGCCTGGGCCGCCGCGCGCAGTCCGCGCAGATACCCCAGTACTTGCACACCTGCAAGGAGGGCGGGCTCAGGGCGTCCAGGAGGGGGGCGTCCAGGATGAGACGGTCATCCCGTAGAATACAGACGAGGCGCACGGTCAGGATGCGAGGGCCCTTGGAAGGCCATGTCGATACTTTGCGAGCGGGGCGCGGCCAGCGAAAGCGGCCCAGGATGGGCCGAAGGGGGACGATGCGAGGGCAGCCTTGGAAAGTGTTTCACCCTTGCTATGCGTATTGGCTGCAGGGCGGGTCCAGTCTCATGACAAGATTGGCCATGACACCCTCGGGTCCAGAAACAAAAAACACGACGACAATGTTGTTTCTCGATGTTCGGCCTTTGGGGCCCTCGGACCGTCGCGGTCCAGGACGAGACACCGGTCCCCGCGAGTGAAGCCAGACACCCGGGGGTCGACAAAAAAAAAGCGCCGCGGATATGGGAGTAGGGCGGGCTCAATCTGCTGACAGAACTGGCCCAGGATGCGCCCCAGGCTTTCCAGAACGTCTAGCGGCCCTCATTTCTGCGGCCCGTGCAGAGCATGTGGGGGATCTGGGGGGAATCCTGGATACCTTGGAACATACCGCATCATGCCCTCCTCGTGCTCCTCCGAGCAAAGCCGGGCCGCGCACGCCGCGCGCGCAGGAGAGCACGCTCCGCGAGGCTGCGCCACGGACCATGAAGGCCGGCATCCTTCACATCCTCGCTACCTACAGGACAGCATCCACAGGAAAATCCTTTGACCAAAACCAATGCGCTTACCTCTGAGTTTTAACAGAAGCGTGCCAACCTGCGTTGAGCGATATGCGAGTTAACCTCTGACACCACCACCCGCCCCGAATCATGCCTCTCGCGTTGGCGCTGGTCTCGCGCCGTGCACAAAACAGACGGACTGCGCGCTGTTCTTGGTGAATCACTCACTACTTTGTTGCTCGCGCGGGGCAAGAGACGCGCGCTTAGATTCGTCGCATAATGTTGCAATAGTGTCACGGATTGGAGGCGGCTTCTTTCCAGAATGTGGTGTTCGCCTCATCACCGCGCACATTCGTCTTAACCTTTTGCAAGAGGTTCGCTGGTTGTCACGGTTAACATACCATAAACGGTGTTTGCAAATGATTCACGAGTGTCAGGGCGCAACAGTTACGTTGATTCGTGATGCTGACGTCCCAGGAACGGCCTTCTGGCACGATTCAAGATCGCCAAGACGTAACAGTCCGATCATCTTGTGCCGCTGACCTCCTGAGAGTGGTTTCTGGTACGCCTCAAGATGTTCACACCACTTGTCCCCAAACCGGGCAATTCCCTGTGGAAACGGATCTTTGAAAGGGCCTATGAAGAAAAATCTTGGAGGGAGTGTATTTCAACATCGTTGATGACTCTTGGGTTTACACTGGTTCTCCTCCTCCCCCTCCTCCTCCTCCTCCTCCTCCTCCTCCTCCTCCTCCTCCTCCTCCTCCTTGCTCCCAGCCAGCCGCACATCGCATCGAACGGCCCGTTCTCCAGCCCTCACGAGACCACCATGCCTCGTCCGTCCCAAACCACGCCCCCACCCCGAACCACCATCACACTCTACAATCCGCCAGGGAAATGCCACCACTGTCGCGAATCAAGTGTGCACGGGACGCGTCCAGACGAATTGCCGCCAGCGTAGAACCGCCCCCTGCCGCACTCAAGCACACACACACATATACACACACGCGCACACACAAGCACACTGCTGCTTTTTGGCGCGCCCGCCACGCACGCAGCAGCGCAGCGAAGTTGAGCAAAGGGCAGGCGGAGACGCGCAGGGGGGCCCAGCTCACGCAGCAGGGACGCACACACACACACACACTAACACTAACACTAACACTAACACTAACACTAACACTAACACTAACACTAACACTAACACTAAACACACACACACACACACACACTTTCCGTGAGCCGCTCGTCGGTCCCGCGCGCGCGCGCGAAGGGTAAGCAGTAAGGGACCACGCCGGACCCTCACGGGGCAGTGGCGAGGCAAGGGAGAGCAGCGGCCGCGGCGCGGGGGCGCCGGCGGCGGGGCGTCCCCAAACCGGCGCCGAGCAGGCGGCCGCCAGGCGGCGGGCGGAGGCGCGCGGGCGGTCCAATGTGGGGGTGAGCAGGGCTGGGGCAGCGAGGCTCACCGCGAGGCCGCGGCAAGACCAGCAACCAGCGCCAGGGCGGAGTCAGAGGCGAGCGAGAGCACGGAGAGCGCCGGGGTGTGCCGTCGAGCCGACCCGCGGAGGGGCCGCGGATGACCCTCTCGGCGAGAGCGCCGCAAAAGGCCGTCGAGCAGTCAGGCAGAAGACCCGGCAGCGGGCGTGCCGACCACCCCGCGATACACACACACACACACAAACTTTGCCTCCAGTGCGCGCATGGAATGCAACCAGCGGTTCACATGAAACGGAGGCGGGATGCGCGCCAAGTCGATCACCACCCGGTGAACACACGCCCACATTCTCTCTCTCTCTCTCTCTCACGCACACACAACATGGACTGACTGAAGTATGATTCTTCACGATGTGCTGAAACTGGGTGGTGTTGCTGATGTTCAGTGCACCCTCCTCTTCATCCGTTACCTCCTGTCCCATCCTCGTCCACTTGTTCCCCCTCCTCATGACACGAGCTCCCCCCAGTCCCGATGTTCCGACTACCAGCGTCGCACCTGACACCACAACATCAGTGTCTTGCGGCCGCGTATGAACGAATGGCACTTGTAGCAGCCCGAGTACTCCGCCGGGAAGGAGGGAACCTCTGAGAGGCGTGGAAGGGGGCGACGAAGGGGCGGACATCCGACGCGCGGGGGAGCGGACGGAGAAGCGAGAGAGCGAGGAGAAGTGGAGAAGACAGAGAGAGGAAGGGAACGGGGGCGAGGGATGGGGGAGGCGACGGGAATGGCTTCGAGAGGGCAGGGAATGGGAAGCGGAAGGGGAGCGGGACGGGGAGGGAAAACAGAGGGGGAGGGGGGCAGGGGAGGGCGACGAGAGCGAGAAGGGGAGAGGAGAGGAGCAAGGAGAGGAGGGGGGGGAGGGGAGAGGGAGAACGCAGGGGGAGAGGAGGAGGAGGAGGGGGGGGGAGAGGACGAGGAAGGGAAAGAGCGGGGGAGAGCGGAGGCCCTCCACCGAGAGGGGCGGCAGCCGACCAAGGCTTCCCGGCCGCGACGGGCAGAAGGGGAGAACGGAGGAGGCGAAGCGAGCACGGCGCCAGCCACAGGAGCACAGCCGTCGTGCTGCCCCCGAGGAGCGCACAACGAGGAGCGCAGGGGGCTGCTCTGGCCAGGGCGGGCCTGGGCCACGAACAGGCTCCTGGATGCCTCCTATGCAGGGGCCCCAGGACACACAAATAAATATTCACAAAAAAACATATTCCCCATATTTCCCCATATTTTCTAGGTTTCTGTCTTCCCCCCCACTTCCCATAATTTCCCATATTTTCGGGGGAATCGAGGATGAATTGTGTCTGTGTGTTTCTTTTCCTCCTGATCCTAGGTGGGGTCGGAGCAGATGGGGTCGGAGGATCCCGCCGCATCGCCGGTGTATCGCCGCTGCATCGGCGACGCACCGGCGACGTCGGCGATGCACCAGTGACGCTGGCCTGGAGGACATCGGGCTCCACAGCGAGCCGCATCGCCGATGCATCGGCGATGCGGCGCGATCCTCCGACCCCATCTGCTCCGACCCCACCCGGGAGGCCGAAAGAGTTCCACGACCGAAGACCCGAGCCCCGCCCGAGCCCGAACCGGCCCTCAGTTCGGCGCCCTGACTGCACAGCAGGCTCGCGCCGTGCTGGTCAACTGCGCGCTGGCTTTTGACGCCGCGCGGAACGCTTCAACCTCGAGAACCATCGCGGCTCTCCCAACAGCGCCGATCGTTCGATGTATTTCGGTCCCGGGCCACCGCGGGCGCTCGGCCTTGAACGTCCGCGCCGGGGTCGCCGCCGCGTCGACGCCGCGCGGCCTCGCGCCGTGAGGGTGCAGGGTGGACACGCCCGATCCTGGAACGTCCGTGCTGACGAAGCTGCAGCGGCGGCGGGCCGGAGCGCGCGGCGCAAAGCGCAGCACAGTGCAAGGGCAGCCCTCGGAGACAGTGCCGCCTCTGGCGACGCGGCGCGGCGACTTGGGACCCGTCGCTAATCCATGCGCGTGAATGCATAGCTGAGTTTCGTCGAGCCTGACCATGACAGGGCAACTCTCGGGTGCCTCCGCGAGCCTGCGCGGAAAGACACGAGGGCGGCGCGCGGCAGACCAAGTGCGACCAAAACGCTGCTGCGCCCCCCCCCCCTCGGCGAGGCGACAACATCCTCCTCCTCCTCCCTCCTCCCTCCTCCCTCCTCCTCCTCCTCCTCCTCCTCCTCCCCCTCCTCCTCCTCCTCCTCCTCCTCCTCCTCCTCCCCTCCTCCTCCTCCTCCTCCTCCTCCGCCTCCGCCTCCTCCTCCTCCGCCTCCTCCTCCTCCTCCGCCTCCTCCTCCTCCTCCCTCCTCTCCTCCTTCCTCCCTCCTCCTCCTCCTCCTCCTCCTCATCATCATCAATCCTCCTCCTCCTCCTCTCCCTCCCCTCCTCCCTCCTCCTCCTCCTCCTCCTCCTCCTCCCTCCTCCTCCCTCCCCCTCCCTCCTGCTCCCTCCTCCCTCCTCCCTCCTCCTCCCTCCTCCCTCCTCCCTCCTCCCTCCACGTCCCCCTGGGCAGCCCGAGCGTCGTGCCGAAGGGCAGCGGGCCAAGGGCCTGCTCGTCGAGCGGAGGACTGGGAGGACTGCGGGGAACATCGGGGGAAGGGCACCATAGGGACGCAGGGCCAGAGGTAGGGAGGCACCAACTATACACCAACACCGATCCCGGCCAGGATCAACCTGGGCCCAGGATCGGTGTATACGCCCTCCTGCCATGGGCAGAATGCATATACACCGATCCTGGGCCTAGGATCGGCCTGGGCTGGATCGGTGTAGGTGTATAGTTGGTGCCCTCCGAAGAGGGGGGCGGCGGGGGAGGATCCGCACGCCCCTCAAGGGAGAGAGAAGAGGGGGGTCAGAGAGCTTCGTGTTGTCGCCCTGGCGGGGGGCGACGTCCTGCCGGGGGCCAGCGACAGGGGGGGGGGGAGAGGGGGGCGGGGGAGCGCGGGGAGGAAGGAGGGCGGGGGGAGGGACGGAGAGGCGGGCCCAGGCCAGGTGCGCGCACGAAGGGGGCGCCCGCCCCTCCGAGGCAGCGCTCCTCGAGCATACCGCGCATGCAGCCCGCAGCCCGGCATCGGTCTTCCAGGGTGGAGCTGCATTCCCTCTGGCTGGACCTGCTAAGGGAAGGTACATACGCCAAGACATCTTGCTATACGAATCTAGAGGCACGTTCTTCGTTGATCCCTGGACTTCCCGAGGTAGTCCTGACCTTCAGTGGGTCCCTGGGGCCATTGTAGAATAGAAACTGTCCGTGGGCACCAGCTGGCAGGCTGGTTGCTCAGTTGGCACACCTACTGTATGCAGCCTTGCTAGCGCTCGAAAGGGTGCACGAAGAGTCCAGAACGAGGCTGGCCACGAGAAAGTGTCCGCATTAGAAACGGCCACCCGAGCAAGAGGCAAGAGCTGTTCATAATGTATGCCCCCCCTTCCCCACAACAACAGCAAAAAACGAAGGTCCAGCGGGTGGCCGTAGAAGCAGCGGAATTTTCGGCCGCGCTCCTCTCGGGCAGACAAAGAGACATATACATATAGAGAGAGAGGGACAGAGAAAGAGAGAGATAGAGACCACGAAATCGAGAGACCGAAAGGCCTAGAGACCGAGAGACTAAGTTTTAAAAAGCTACAGCCTGAGCATCAGCCTGAGGGAGTTGCCTGGGTGTCTCCGCTGGGAAAGAAGGGAGGTCTGCAAATTTTCCAGGGGCTGCGGCCGGGGCCGGGGCCGGGGCTGCGGCAAGAGCCCAGGCCCGGGCTGGGGACGGAACTCCCAAGCCCAACGACCCACCAACGAGCCAACCCGTCAGGGAATGAGCCCGCCAACAAGCTCGACAGACGGACACGACGCAATCTTTCAATTTAGCACATACTTCCTGAGGCGACTGCAAGCACCCTCCTTCCACTCCTCCTCCCTCTCCACCTCCTCCTCCTCCTCCTCCTCCGTTCCCCCTCCTCCTCCTCCTCCTCCTCCTCCCCCTCCTCCTCCTCCTCTTCCTCTTGTTCCCCCTCCTCCTCCTCCTCCTCCTCCTCCTCCTCCTCCTCCTCCTCCTGTTCCTCTACCCTCCAACATCATTCCTCCTGCGTTCTCGACTAACTCCCCACAAGCTGATAATCAATTAAGACAGATTCGCATGTAGCGTCTGCAGCCTCCCAGAGTGAGTGATGTATGTATGTAACTATGCCGAGAGAGCGATGTATATACATATAGTTATGTGCGTGCTTATATAACTCACGTGGATGCATACGAGCAGGGGGGTGAAGAGGGAAAGAGAGAGAGAGGGAGAAAGAGAAAAAAGAGAGAGAGAGAGAAAGAGAGGAAGGAAGGGAGAAATGAGGAGGAAAAGGAGGAAGAGGAGGAGGAGGTACAGGAGGTTAAACAGCCATCACGACCACAAACAGAAGTGGGGGCTGCGTTGTTGACACCCGCACCGCCCAAACATTCGCTCCCAGAGTCTTCCTGAACTGGTGTGGGGACCAAGTCTGATGGCCTCAGGGGGAAAAAATGTTTTTCTTGACACCCACGCCTGCCCAGAGCCCCACTCCGAATGATTCCTGTGCGTGGGCGGGCGCCTAACATCGCATAACAGCGAAATCCCCTATCCCCAATCCCCAACATCATGATTTGTTCATGACGTCGACCCCCAAAGGTTTGGAGCCACTCCCTGGGACCGTGTGTCCATCACGAGTCGTTTTTTGACGGTCCCGAGGCCCGGTCAGGGCCCCCCGAGCCCGAAGATGGCGAAGAACCTCCCGTCGTGAGCTTTCCACGGCTCGAGGGGGCCTGGGGAGCTGGAGCAGGAGCGCGCCCCGCAAGAGCAGCAGGAGCACCGCGGCCGAGACGCGGCGGCTCCGCTCCCGCAGCTCCGGGAGCCGGCCGCCAAAGCGCATGCGGGAGGGGGCATGGGGCGGCAGCCGGCAAGCCCTGGACGCGGCGCAGCGCACACGCGATGCTGCGCCAGGACACTGGAAAAACACACACACACACGCACGAGCACACGCACAGTTTTTTCGTCGACGGCGGGGCAGCATGGCGGCACCAGCGACGGAGCTAAGCGGGGGCACTGAAGAGCGAATCGGCCAGCGTGCGGGGGGAGCAAGAGGACGGGCAGGGCGGCCGCGGAGAGGGGGGAAGAGACGGGGCCACTCAGAGGCGGAAGACTTCTGTCCCGAGTGAGCTGGCGCGGCCAGCCAAACACACACACACACACACACACACACCACCAGATACACATGCAGAGCGAAAGGAGACCAAGTGCTTTGTACACATGCGTGGGGCGCCACCGCGCTCGGACTCACGAGGACCGAGCGCTGGAAAAACATGCAGCCGCACACGCATCCAGCTCTAGCCCAGGCTGACCAGGTCGTGTGCGTCGGGCTTCCGGGTAGGCTCTCCACCATCCGACCTCTGATATCCGACGCCGTCCTCTTCATGCGGCCTGGGCCCCGGAGCTTCCGTCTCACCCACAAGTTTTCTGTCGCGAGTTGTGCCGTGACGGTGCTGAGGCCTGGAAGCGGCCCCCGGAAGTGGCAATGCAAAACAACAGGCCCTCGCTAAGGTCGCTCCCCAGGCCCCTCGAGATCATTTTTTTATTCCGGCCGGTAACGCTCGTTACCCGGGGGGGGGGGGGGGTCGTGCCCCCCGGGTAACGGTAACGCTTGGGCTGGGCGGGGTATGGCGAAGCAGGGGCGCTCTGCGATCGCCATAGTATGCGCGCGAGCAGCACTCTCTGCCTGAGAGCACCACAGTGGCTTGCGATTCGAGTACAAGCGCAAAGCCCGCCGCGTGGTCCCGGCACCACGCCCGCGCCCGCGCGCGCGACGACGATGATCGACGAGCGACGAGCGACGAGGTCGACGACGACGACGACGACGTTTGCCGCCTGTTTCGGCCTCCGGAGGCCGTTTTCGGGCGCCGTCGACGACGACGACGACGACGACGACGACGACGACGACGACGACGACGATTCGAGTACAAGCGCAAAGCCCGCAAGCACCAGCATCGCGCATGCGAGCGCCGCAATGGCCTGCGAGCGCCCACAGTGCGCCTGCGACCACCACACCACAGTGCGCATGCCTTCGGGCACCAGCATGTTGGAGGGGAAGACCGAGACCCCCCCCGCGTACGAGCGTTACCGTTACGGGGGGGGGGGGGGGGGGAGAGGCCCGGGTAACGAGCGTTACCCCCCAGAGGATAAAAAAACAATCTCCTCCTGGAGTGCGTTCTGGTCAGAACTTCAAAGGAACTCCAGCCGTGCGAGAACGCCCCAAAAGGCCCCCCAAAAGGCAAAAAGATGTTAAAATCCTCGAGCCTGCCCTCGTCATCGTCTTCATCGAGGAGGGGCTTGGACAGAGATCGTAGGCGGAGGTCCTCACAGAGGGTGACCCACCTCGGCAGCTCGCCCTCGGAGTCCGGGACCAGCGGCAGGCCCTCCGGAGGGAGGCCCTCCCTCCCTCGACACAGCCGTCGCAAAACGTCTCCTCGCCAATGAGCTGCTTCACTGCACAGCCTCACTCACCTCTGCAGCCGCCGCCGCCGCCGCAACCTCAGCACTTCGGACTTGCGGGCCCGCCGGCACATCTCTGCACCTGCTGCCCCAGCCTCGCGCACGGACCGCCACCCTCCTCCCTCCCCCTTCCTCGCTCCATCCTCCATCCTCCCTCCACCCTCCACCCTCCACCTCCTCCTCCTCCTCCTCCTCCTCCTCCTCCTCCTCATCATCATCATCATCACCATCATCATCATCATCATCATTATCATCATCATAATCAGCATCAGCATAGCATCATAATCATCATCATCATCATCATCATCATCATCATCATCATCCATCATCATCATCATAATTCATCCTGCTCATCATCCTCATCCTATTCTCATCATCACCTCATCATCCTCATCCTCATCATCATCACCATCCTCATCCTCATCCTCATCCCTAATCCTCATCCTCATCGCCTCATCATCATCATCATCACAGCAGCATCCATCATCATCATCATCATAATCCATCATCATCATCATTCACCATCATCATCGTCATCATCAGCATCGTCATCAAGCATCATCATCATCATCATCGTCCTCATATCAACATCATCATCAGCATCATCATCATCAGCATCATCATCATCATCAGCAACATCATCAGCATCATCATCATCGCATCACAGCCCACAGCGATCATCATCAGCAGCATCACTCATCACCACAGTATCATCATCATCAGCATCATCATCTCATCATCATCGATCCATCATCGGCATCATCATCATCATCCAGCATCACCATCATCATCATCATCATCCATCATCATCATGATCGTCATCAGCATCATCATCGCATCATTCATCATAGCATCATCAGACATCATCATCAGCATCAGCATCACATCAGCATCGCATCAGCATCATCAGCAGCATCAGCATCAGCATCAGCATCAGCATCAGCATCAGCATCAGCATCATCATCATCATCATCATCATCATCATCATCATCATCATCATCATCATCATCATCATCATCATCATCATCCTCGCGGCAGACACTCTGGAGGACGGAGGTTCTTACTACCTTCCTTCCTCCTCCTCCTTCCTCCTCCGCCTCCTCCTCCGCCAGCCGACAGGCCCATCAGAGCGAAAATCAACCCTGGACCTCCACCCTTGACCCTCGACAATATCTCCCTCCCTGCCTCCCTCCCTCCACATCCTCCCTCCCACATCCCGCCACCCGGTCTCCGCTCAGCAACGGCCCCCCCCACACCTCAGAACCTGCTCACCAAACCACTTTCTATCCCTCGAGCAGGCACTCCCGTGCGAGGATGCTCTGGCAAATCGGTGCTTCAAACGGTAAAGAACCGGTTCCCCATGGCGGCGGCTGCGACGGCGACGGAGACGCCCGCGACGGCGGCAGCTGCGGCCCGGGCAGCGGCGACAGCGAGGACCGCGACGGCGGACGGTCTGCGGCGGCCGCCAGGCGGTCTGCGCGCGGCCGCGGGGCGGCCTCGTGGGCGCGCGGCTCGTCGCCCCCGCGCCCCGGGAGGTAGTGCACTGGCACCAGCTGCGGGAAACGCCGACGACGACGACGCCGACGCCGACGCCGACGCCGACGCCGACGCCGTCGCCGACGCCGACGCCGACGCCGACGACGACGACGACGACGACGCCGACGACGACGACGACGAGGCCGACGCCCACAGCCCACAGCCCGAGGCCCACGGCCCGAGGCGCCCGCTGGCCGCCGTCGGGGCCCCGGGGGAACGTCAGGGAAAGCATGGGCCGGGAAACGGCGGTGTCCGTTGCCGGCAGATCGACGAGGAGGCCCCGAGAGCGAATCCGCACTTCTCCCGGGCGGGGCGCGGGCCATCCGGCCCCCATCGGCGATCCAAGGGCGACTGGAGGTCGATGGCTTCCCGCCTGCCTCGAGCCCCTCCTCCTCCTCCTCCTCCTCCTCCTCCTCCTCCTCCTCCTCGTCCTCGTCCTCCTCCACCTCCACCTCCACCTCCTCCTCCTCCTCCTCCTCCTCCTCCTCCTCCTCCTCCTCCTCCTCCTCCTCCTCCTCCCCCCCCGTGACGTTGGCCCCGAAGCAGAGGGAGGCGAGGGCAGCGGAGATCCGAGGCCAGGCGCCGCCCCACGGGCAAAAACAATGCAGGCCGGGTGCGTTCGTCGCTCTCGGCCTCCTCCCTCCTCCTCCCTCCTCCTCCCTCCTCCTCCTCCTCCCTCCTCCTCCCTCCTCCTCCCTCCTCCTCCCTCCTCCTCCCCCCCGACGGCCCGCGTCCTGGCCACGGGGCCGCGGAGAAACGGCTCGGGATGAGATCCTGGCCCCTGGGAAGATCGGGGAACGAAAAGTGGCATCAACATAAAAACTCGGAGGTCCGCGCGGACTTCTCGGATCGGCGCTGGGGCCTCCCCGGCGGCGCCTCCGGCGCCGCCCCTGGCGCGCTCCGCGCGCCAAGGAGGGGGGGTCCAGCGCCGATCCGAGAAATCCGCGCGGACCTCCGAGTTGTTACGTTTATGCCACTTTTCGTGCCCCCGGGAAGAGGCCGAGATCCCTGGGGGCCGACGTCGCCACGAGAAGCGCTACGTCGGAGGAGGGGGTCAAAGCAGCAGCGGTGGCAGGGTCGAGATCCCCAGGGGCCGACGTCACGATAGCAATGCTACGTCGGAGGAGAGGGTGGGAGCAGCAGCGGTGGCAGGAGCCGCGGCGGCGATTGCAGCAACGCCAGCATCGGGCGAAGCCACGGCGAACCAGAAGGTGCCGTGTCATTTTGCTGCGGGAAGGGAGTCCCCTATCTTCAGGCGAAGAAGTGGGCGACCAGCGCCGCCAGCACAGCTGCCACGCCAAAGCCAAAGCGCGGCTTCGCCGCACTCCACGTGCACTGCATGCGCTCACTGATGACGGGGCCGACCTGGGTCACGATCTCATCTGCGGACTCCTGCAGGCCAGCACACTGAGTTGTCGCGAGTGACATGAAGTCCTTGACGAGGTCGATCGTCTCAGGCGTCATGGGGTAAATCTTGCTCATGTGCGGCAGCATCAGCTCGGACATTTGCCAGATGTTATGCAAGGAGGTGTGCATGGTCGCGAGTTTTGTGTTATAGTCGGTGATGTTGGACATGAGCCCAGAAATTTCATTGCACGCGTCAGCCTGGGACGCGGCCGCCAGCGCGCTCGCGTTCACGCGCAGCGGGACCGCCTGCTCGCGCAGCTGCTTAATGATGGGCATGAAAGCCTGGCGCAGCTCCCTTGGCATGACGACGTTAAGATCCCTCGCGAGCTTCTGCGCGTCCGCGTGCATGGACTTGACGCGGAAAGACGCCTCGTGGAAGTAGCGGGTCATCAGGAAAGACAACTCCACATCGGACGCCCTGCCGCTCGCCAAGGCGAACTTCGCCGTCTTGCGGCGGGTGATGTTCAGGAAGTCCTGGACGGTGTTGGCGATCTCGACCTTGGCCTTGTTGATGCGCTTCATGAAGAGCGGGTTTTCCGTGGCCTTGGGGAGGGCCATCATCACCTCGGGAAGAGGGGCAGGGAGAAAAGAACGTCGATCCGAGTGGCCTGAGAGTGCGCTGGTGTCAGGAGAAGGAAGAGGAGGAGGAAGACGACAACGACGACGAGGGCCACGATCACCTCGACCATGATGCCCAAAGTCACCTCGCCCAGCATGCCCGACATCTCGGAGTTGGCCTTCGCGCCCATGAGCATCTGCGCCTGGAAAAGAAACTGAGGATGAGGAGACGGAGCACGCCCAAAAACGAGCCACAAGGATGGAGTTCAAGGATGCAAGAACCTCGAGACGCGCCGACACGAATGCAACTCGCAGAACTTCAAACCAAACAGGATGTAAGGGACCCGAGCTTGGGCTGGGAAAGCCCGAAACGTGTTAAGGATAGCCACAACCGAAGGATGCAACGTGCCCTTGCGAAAAGACAATCCTTAGCAACGGCTTCGACAGTAGTGGTACGCAACTGGTGAGCAGGAGCACAGGGACGAGAAAGAGGAGCATCTGACGATGCTGCGCCTTCTTTATCATCGCCTCCTTGGCGGCGCGGTGGGCCTCGATCTTGGCCAGGCGCTCATCCTCCTTGGCCCTCTTCCTGTCCAGGATGACCTTGCGGCGCTTCTCCGCCTCTTTGCGCAGGTCCTTCATGGCGAGCGTGGCCTCCTTCTTTGCGAAGTCGAGCTCCTTCTGCTTCTCCTTGAAGCTCCTGAGCGTCCTCTTCAACGCCTCGGTCTTCTTCTTGAAGTCCGCCTGGTGCACTCATGTTTCCCCCAGCCTTCGACACTCAACCGAAAGGGGAAGGGGGTGCTCAGCATCTGGCCAGTGCCTGCAGTCATCATGCCACAATCCGCCACCGTGCCAGCATGATGTGGGCGTGTTCGAATGTCAAGTGCTGTCTGATAGTGCTTCTGCATGCTAGCAAGGGGCCTCCCCGTCTTCTGTCAGTGGAGTGAGCCGTGCAACCCCCTGCCAGGGGCCAGGGCCACGATCCCTTGAAAAAGTCGATGGGTCTGCGCTCCCGAGGACACGATCCTTCGTCAAAAACGATGGATCCGCGCCCCGAGCTTCCAAGACGACCCATGCAGGCAATCAATGGCACCAAGATCACCCAAGATGCCTCGAAAACGGGCCAAGATGGCCCCAAGACGGCCGAATGTGGCCTCAAGACAGCCTAAGATGCCTCCAAGAGGGCCCGAAAGGGCAACAAGAGGACCCCCAACAGGGTCCTAAGAAGCTAAACTCACTGACGCACCTTCGGTTTGGGAATGGTTGTCGCATTCTCGCCTTTCGGGGCTTCCGTTAGCTCAAGACGGCTCAAGAAGCCTCCACGTAGCCCAATGACGACCCAAGAGGCAACCACGAGTGTGCAAAGACAGCCAAAGTGAACCCCGCCAGGGCCCAAGAGGCATCCAAGACGGCGCCAAGACGGCCCTAGAGAGCCCCCCGTGCGATCCAAGACGGCCTTAGAAGGGCCTTCGACAGCCCAAGGCGGCGCCAAGACGGCAACAGACACTCACTAGACGGCCAAGAAGACCCCAAAACGGCCCACGAAAGCCACGAGACGACCCAAGAGGACCCTGGTGCGGCCCGAGAGAGCCCGAAGGGGCCCCGAAGACTGAGTCACAGGAGGCCAAAACAACCCCAAGACGGCCCAAACAAAATTCCATGGGAGCTCTTCGCATAGTAAAGACGACAGGTGTCGCATGTGTGACAGCCTTCCTCCTCCTCCTCCTCCTCCTCCTCCTCCTCCAACACCACCTCCTACTCTTCCTCCTCCTCCTCCTCCTCCTCATCCTCCTCCTCCGCCTCCTCCTCATCCTCCTGCTCCGCCTCCTCCGCCTCCTCCTCTTCCTCCTCGTCCTCATCCTCCTCCTCCACCTCCTCAGCAGCAGCATCACCCTCATCATCGTCCTCAACCTCCTCCCTCCTCCTCATCATAAGCATCAGCAGCACCATCACCATCATCATCATCATCAGAAGCAGCAGCAGCAGCACCAGCAGCATCATAATCCCCATCCTCACCGTCACCATCATCACCAGCTGCATCAGCATCATCATTGTCGTCATCAGTATCAACATCATCATCCGCATCATAATCAAAATCATCATCATCACCATCATAATGATCGTCGTCATCATCAGCATCATCATCAGCCGCATCATTCGCAGTACCATCAGCAACATCATCGCCATCATCATCAGTTTCATAGCGATCGGCATCGTCATCGTCATCGTCATCATCATCAGCAACAAGATCATCATCGGAATTGTTATCATGATCATGAGCACCATGAGCATCACAATTTTTATCCAGGCTCGAAACTAGTGCATGACGGCCAATCAATAAATATGAGCCCAAACTCCGTGCACGACCACGTAAACATAAAAGACCGACCATCTTCTGGAAAAACATTGCATTTACATGTGTATAATCCTTAAATCTCTGGCTTCTGGGGCAGGAAAATCGCGAGGAGCGGGCTCCTGGACCGTATCCTGTTCTGTTTATTCGCCTTCTGCCCGCAGTTGTGGGCGTGCGGCCTCTCCGCCTTCCTCCGCTGTGCCGCTGCCGCTTGGCTGCCGCCGCTCCGCCGCCGGCGCCGCTTTGCTGCCGCCACCCAGGAGAACCAAGGGAAAACCGTGCTGAGGGCACAAGGTCCTTGTGTACTAGGCGCCCGCGCCTACGCTGGGCTCCCCGAAAAGGAGCGGGTCCCTGCCTGGACAAAGCGAACCCAAGGCAGCCGCAGTTCCTGGATAGGGGGCGGGTCCCTGCCTGGACAAGGCAAACCAACGAGGCAAAGCTCGGCCCCCCGATAGGGAGCGGGTCCCTGCCTGGACAAGGCAAACCCACAAATGCGGCCGCAGTTCCTGGATAAGGAACGGGCCCCTTGCCTGGACAAGGCAAGCCCGCGCGGCAAACGCTCGGCTCCCCGATAGGGAGCGGGTCCCTGCCTGGACAAGGCAAACCCACACATGCGGCCGCACTTCCTGGATAAGGAACGGGTCCCTGCCTGGACAAGGCAAACCCACGCGGCAGCCGCAGTCCATGGACAAGGGACGGGGCCCTGCCTGGACAGGACAGACCCACGCGACTCGGCGCAAGACCCTCGACGGCGGGTTGGCCGACGGCGAACCAGAAGGCGACCCAACACCCACAGGTCGCAACGGATAGCCTGGACAAGGTAGCCGTGGCGACAACGAACCAAAACCAGCCGCGATAGCTCAGCTGGGAGAGCGTCAGACTGAAGATCTGAAGGTCCCCGGCTCGATCCCGGGCCTCGGCATTACAAAAAAAACGAGGTTCCCGCAGTTTTGCCGGCGCTCCTCGTCGCCACTCCGCTCGCGCGTCCTCGTCGCCATCCGCCAGGTTGGCCGGGCGAGTGGGGCGTGAGCGGGTCGCGAATCCAGCCATGGCGGCCCCTGTGTCAGGCAGAGGGCATCGTCTACTTCCTCCCTCTTCCTCCCCCTTCCTCCCCCCTTCCTCCGTCCGTCGCCGTAGAGGCTCAAATCAAGACCCCCAGGCCAGTACTGAGGCGCTCTGAATGTCACTACACATCTGTACTAACAGATCACTATCCGAAGGGATGTCCTTCAGCGACGCCAAGACCAACGAGGTGATCAACGGTCTCCCGTCGGGAGCGTTCAACGGCGCCGAGCAGCCAGCCGTGCGCGACTGGATCGACTTCGTTTTGGGAATCGATCCCAAGGCAAAGGAACAGCACACCGTCTTCCACTATATTTCGATGGCCAGGCTCCTGTCGGAGACCGCCGGCAGCGTGTGTCCTTCAGACTTGGAGGACGCGCACATGCGCGATATGATCATTTCGAACATCAAGGCCAATAAGGTTCCTTACGCCAGCGAGGAGCAGGAACCATGGAAAGCGTGGAAGGTGTCTCCCGCCCAGGTGACGTTCGCACTCAAGGCGCAGACAACATGTAAGGAGCAAGCCAATGGCGGCGGGCCCGAAATCCCGCAGGGATCAGATCCTGCCTCGGCAGCGTTGCTGGGGCACTCAAAGAGTTCGCCGAGGCGCAGACGGCGGCCTTGAAAAAGGGGCAGCCGAAGGGGTTGACTTTCAATTTGAAAGGCCGAGCTCGGTTTGCAGGGCTTGCCCAAAGACGCTCTTCCTTCAGAAGAAGTGTTGGGGCGTTCCAAGGCGACGGGGGGAATCGCCTCTGACAAAGGTCGGCTGTGGGTTGGCTCCGCAGGGGGCGAGGACTTGCACATCCACCATAGATCCAAGTGGTGTCGCACACCAGTTGTCGATGCCGTCGCGGGCTCCGAAAGCTCGTGCGACGACCGCATCAAGCAGGCCCTCGAGGCCACGAAGAAGCGGACGATGGCGGACAATATTGACGATCCTGGCTTCGCTTCGTTTCTGGGCCACCTCCTCGAGTGGGGCGCGAAGGTCATGCTCCTGAAAGGCTGCGCCCTGGTTGACCTGCGCGGGTACATCTTCAACTTGACCACGATAGCTGAATCGTGGGGAGGCGTGCGCACCGCATTCCACTGCGATATCTTGAGTCGCACTGACACGGCAAAAGCTTGGGAGGAGGGAGAGCAGGACATCTCCAGTTTCTTCGGGGAGATCGACCGCGACACAGCCAAGGAGGCCAAAGACATGGTCGAGAAAAAGTACTCAGACGTGGGCAAGGCCCTGGCGAAGCAGACGCCCAAGGGGGGCGGCAAAGCATCCTCGTGGACAGCGCCGCCATCGGGGTCGTCATCTGGCAAAGACGGCGGCGAAGGCTGGACAGCGCCGTCTTCGGGGTCGGCAAACGGCAAAGACGGCGGCAAAGGCTGGGGCAAGGCAGGCAAGGGCAAGGCCGACTGGAAGTCGAACGACGAGGTTCTGCGCCCCCCGCCCCCCGCCCGGAAGGACACGTGGACGGGGGTGCGGCCCCGCAGCCCGCCGCTCCAAAAGAGCCAGCAAGAGTGGTGGAGCCGCAAGTGAGCTCGGGGCTCCACAAAAGGCTCTGCGAGAGCAGAGTCTGCAGATTCCAGTTCCGAGAGGGCTTCTGCGCCAAGTACCCGTTCAAAGTCAACGCAGCCCTCGCCTGAGGACCCCTCACTCGGGGCAATCCGCGCAGCAGTTTTCATATTCCAAAAACGCGACGATTTGCATCGCCTTGGCCCCTTGGACCACGCGCAGTGGGCACTCCGCTTGCCAGCAGTGAATGATACGCCATCCCTGCCAAGTTGTTTAAGCAGATCTCTAGCCCGGTCGACGAGTTGTCGGTCGCAGAGCTGCAGGCCGCTCGGTGCTCTGCCCTAGAGTTTTGGCGACAGCGAAAGCTGGTGACCGACCCTCAATGGCAATCGCCGTTTAGACGTTTGCCTGTGCACCGTCAGTCGGTGCTCGGGCTGGAGCAGAAGCTTTTGCCGTTCCAGGAGATGCTAGACGCAATCAGCTGGCCCGACCAGCATCTGTTTCACAATCTCTGCCGTGGATTTCCCCTCATAGGGAAATTACCTGCTAGTAGTCTGCGCGAGAGCGCAAGCGCGTCTCAGGAACCAGCCGAGACATTGCGCTCGCTTTCATGCTCTCCGCGCGAGCGGAACCAGGCGATTCTCGGCAGAATTGCCGCGCAACCCAGCGGCAACGCCGAAGTCCGCACGCAGTTTCTACAGGCGTGCAATCAGGAAATTGCAGACGGCAAGGCGCGTTTCCGCAAGTTGGATGTGAATTCGCGCGTCGTGACTGTATGTTTTCCGGTAGCCCAGGGCAAGAGACAAAATTCTGAATCGTGGGTGCCGAAAGTCAGGTGCATCGACGGTTTAACCGGCTCGCTGGTGAACGGCGCAACTGTACTCAGTGAAAAAAAAAACACCCGACAC